ATTGCCAAACCAAACCATAAACACAAAGGCCCAAGAAATAAACAGAGCAATCCACAACTTCTTCTCTCTTGCTCTCGCACGCACAATCTGATCTTCAACTTCTCTCTTTGTCCTCAGCAGCCAAGCCATCAGAGCTCTCTCACGGCGAGGCATTTCAATATCAACCCATACAAAAAACCCACAACCGTTTTTCCCCCTCTGCATTCAAACAACAATTCCATCACATTCTCAAAAAAATTTGTCCACTTTTCGATAAACTAGCAAATCCAAAACCTACCTCTGACTTTGGACACACAAAGAACCTCCGAAGTGGGTTGGACTCTGTCCAAGAAGTCTGCAGCCGAGCAAGCCTCCCACAATAGCAATGAGGTGCTGCAACGGCCAGCTCTTCTCCTCCTGGAGGTTCTTTCCTCATCTTCACACCCTCTAATCGAAGAAAGATGGAGAGATTTTTCTCTGGGGAACCCTAAATCCTTAAAATGGTGGCAAGTAATTTTTCTGGGTTTACCAACCCTATTATCGAAGAAGAAGAGGGGAGATTGTTATTTGGGGTCCGCTCATTAAGTCTCCACCTTAGATTAGGATTTTCAACGCATGTGGGGTCCACTATGCCACGTAGGATGCTGAATAGGGTTAGCAATTGGGCACCGTGGATGATTGGACCATAATGCCCCTGCCACGTCAGCTTTTTTGACGGTCGTTTGGATGGCGTTGACGGTGGGGGGTTAAATGGAACACAAAACCACGGTCAAGGGGGTAAAGTGGGCCATTTTAACTTTGGGGGGGTTAAGTGAGATTTGACCGAAGTTTCAGGGGGTGCTACAGTAATTAAGCCTTTATTAAATTATATTTACTTTAGAGAAAAATAATACATAATATTATTATATTTACATCTTAAAGGGTTAATTGTTTTATTAGTCCCTGAACTTTGACCCGATTTGCATTTGAGTACCTCAATTTCCAAAATGGTTCCTGTAGTCCTTTAACTTTAGTTTCATTTGGACAACTAGTCTCACCGTTACTTCTGTAAAAAATTTCGTTATAATAAGGGGTAGATGGGTCTTTTCAGGTTGGTTTTATTATCCCCCTTCTGCAACTCACCTTTCCTCTGAAATAGCTGAAATAGACCTTGCAAAGCCTGCCACCAAAAACCTAAAGAACCAAAAATTGCAATCCGCTTTTGCAACTCACCTTCCCTCTCGTATTGGTTGAGTAAAAGTTGAAATCGTCTAGTTTGGAAGCTTGGAGAGCAGATTAGTTCGAAGGATGACAAGTGATATGTCTCAAACATCATCAATGGAATCTAACTGAAGCCCCAAATCGGTGAAGTATTTTCATTGTGGGAGTTTGATCAAATCGAGGACTTCTTGGACATACATGAATCCAGGAAGAAGCTTCGAGGCCTGTGACAACAACCAGGTAAACAATTTTTCATTTTTGGGTTTATGCACCAAGTTGGTATTATGTTCAGATTTTATACTGATGATGAATTTGATAATAATGAAGCAGAAAAGCAAAGTTGGAGAGCATTATTTTAGGTGGTTGGACAAGGAGACATGTACAAGAGGGAAGAATGCGGTGCCTGGTTTGCTTAGAAGAATAAGAATGATGGAGACTGAAATGAGGGAGACAGAAGAGAGAAAAAATGTTGTGGTCAACACACTTCAATCCTTAGAAGCTCGAAACTTGGAAATGGAGGGCATAATTGAAAAAAATAAGGAGTTGGATTATGTAGTTAGAGACAACAAAAGGCTTAGACTTTTGCTGGAAGACAATATGATGAGGCATCGACAAAGAGAATGTAGGATGAGTATGGGTGCTTGTGTTTTATTTATGATCATTGTAATGATATGATGATGGTGTCGAACATGTCTGGAAAATGTATGGGAGTAAGGGTAGTGAAAACCATTTTGGAGCTAATGTAATTCTCGAAATTAGTTATGCAATCTTGTAATGTTATTAGTTATGCAAAAGGCTTATGGAATTTGAAGACTTTGGTTATTTGCAATCTTGTAATTCTAGATTCATTGACCTCAATCTACATACAAGACTTCTTAAAATTAAGGCATAGAAATGCACATGAAATAGTAGAGCAACCTTTCACATAAGCAGAAGAGTCAAACTTACATTCACTACAAATTCAAATGTTCACAGATAGAGCCTTTTTTGCAAACGTGCAATCATATGACATGTTTAATACATCCCCAGATCCACCACATGTTCCAAAATGATAACTTGTTACTCAAACAGAGTACAAAACACACTTAATCCCCAAAAGAGTCATGTTTAAGTCTCAAAAGGTATCCCCAAAATAGCAGTCACAACATAGTTAAATCCTGGATGAACCCAAAACAATTACAAAACACCATTCATCTTGTAGTGCATCTTCTTCTCATTGGTAACTTGTTTGGTGGCAATTGTTTGGTGGCTGTGAAGATGATGCACCATTAGTTGTTCCAGTGACTCTCCCTTCGCTCACTGTTTGAGATGATGATCTCCCTCTACCACCCCTAGTTGCTGCAACCTAGAAGCAAAATTTGACAAAAGTGATTGAGGTTATTCAAATGACATTCCACAGATGTTTGAGTCCATGTCTTTTCACTTTTTTTTTTATCAGTATAGTATAACACTAACACTCTGTTACTTGGTATGCAGCCAACCATGTCACATATAACACTGTCATTGTCAATGAGCTTTACATTAGTTTCACCATTAGTGTCATACATCTTACAATATATTTGCAAACCTATCTCCTTCTTAGTTAAGTCCACTTCATATCCTAACGCTATACCTATTTTCCCTAAACCCTAAACCCTAAACCCTAAACCCTAAA